GCTAGAAGAGTACAAAACAAGACATAGTAGCTGACTCTACAACAGAAGCTGAATATATTACAATCAGTGAAGCGACTAAAGAGACTGTTTGGATCAAGAAGTTCATAATCGAGCTAGGGGTTGTTACCAACATATTAGATGCTATAGAACTCTGTTGCGACAACAATAGAGCCATTACACAAGCAAAGGAACCCATATCTCATCAACTAAAACATATTCTTAGGTTCTTTCATCTTATTGGAGAGATCATAGATTGAGTACACATGGAAATATACATAGTACACATGGATGATAACATTGTTGATCCCCTGATGAAGCCTCTGGAATAGTAGAAAAATGATCGTCACACTGAATCACTCGGTATTAGATATATGAGTGATTGGTCTTAGTGCTAGTGGGAGATTGTTAGAGTATCCCCAAAGACCAATCATGAGATGATTGTAATTATATATTTTCTTTACCAGTTTTATTGAATAAATGCATTGCCACTATTATTTTAGTTGTATTTTTTTGTCTAACATAAACTAAAAGATAATAAAGTTCATATAATAATATGATTATTATTAAATATCCTTAGTCAAATATTATTATGGGCGTAGACAATAATAATATGTTTAAGACTAACATGGAGTTTATTGATGAAAACTAGTTGTCATTGACATATGGATGTCAAAATCAATGCATGAGTATGTTGTTAGAGAACAATATATTGGATTGGCCCACTATGAGCATGTGTCTTGGATTATTATGTGACAGCTACAACATTGATCACGGTGATGACTACATGTATGATCCTCAGACTTGAGATCTTACTATCTCAATATATATTGTTGTATGTTTTGATACAGTTAAACATGCTCCGTAACTAGTTGTATTATAAAGAATGATATTGAAAATATCACGATGTATATAGTGAGATATGAATGATCAAGATAGGATTTGTTCTTCCTATATAATAGGAAATATATCACATACCACTTGATTGAATGAGACTAGAAATGCATGACCATGCTTTGATATGAGATATCACAAGTTGTTTTTTTTTAGTCTACTTTAGATACCAAAAAATAATAGATGGGCTATACAAGTGTGACTATTCCAAGACTTGTGCCTATTATAGATATAAAGTACAAAATGATGTAATACATACAAATAGTTAGTCACAATGTTATTAAGTCGAATCATGATTTCTTGTAACTTAGATGAAAATGATATATTGCTAGATGTCACTCATTGTTTGTAATATTAGAATGGTTCTAATAATTATTACTAATGTTACAAGAACCTAAAAGGTCACACCCTAGGGTTGAAATGAGCAAATATTAAATAAATTTTAATTGTACAATTTATTATACATGATTGAAGAATATATATATATATATATATATATAATTTTAATTACACTGAATATAATATTAAAAGAATATAATTATGATTATAATTCTTTAATGGATATTAAATTCGAATTAATTAAATTCAAATTTTAAATTTGGAATTAAAAACCCTAGAGGCTAGGGTAACTTATATATAAAGATAAGAAAGGTCTAACAACTGCACTTGATAGTTTAGACGAAATATCTCAAAATAGTTTTTGAGAGAAAGGAAAAATATTTGATATCAAGTAGGTGAACTGAATAGAGACCGAGACGTTGGCATGGAGGTTAAGAATTTGATTCGGTCATGATTATACTGTCGAATTGTTGTTTTCCAAGAACTCGAGGTGAATTTCATATCTCTTCCTCCTGAAAATGAGTTTTCATACTTTGATCACTGGTTTGATCGTCGAATATTTCTTTCCACTGCGCCATAAGGTGTACTGGAGATCTCAACATCAGTCATATTGGATGAAAAGTAAAAACAAACTTTAAATGGTTGAAGGTTAACTTAACTCAGGCCGCAGTGTTGACTCAACCGGAGTTGAGTAAAGATTCACATTTTACAGCAATGCCTTATTGAATGGTTTTGGATGCGTATTGATGCAGAAGGGTAAGGTTGTAGCTTATTATATTCATCAATTTAAACCTTATGAGTGCAATTACCTCACCCACAACCTTGAGCTTGTAGTAGTTGTGTTTTCCTTGAAGTTTTGGAGGCACTACCTAATTGGTGAGAAGTGTCACATCTTCACTGATCACAAGACTCTTAAGTATCTACTCACATAGAAGGAGTTGAACCTTAGACATTGAATGTGGGTAGAACTATTGAAGAACTACGATTGTGTCATAGACTACCATAGTGGTAAAACAAATGTAGTGCCAGATGCCTTAAGTAAGAAGTCTATAATAGAGTTGAGACCTCTCTTAGCATGATTGAGTTTGAATAGTAAAGTCGAGTCACTAGTCGAGTTGCAAGTTCAACAAGAGTTAGTCAGTGAAGTCAAGAAATTAAAGGGTTCAAGCTACTGGTTAAAGGCTCGAGTTGAGCGGGTTCATAAGGGTGAGGCACCTAGATCAAAGTTATGTGATGGGGGAACATTATACTTTAAGGGTCGATTTCGTGTACTCGCAGATGCTCTGTTGCATAGTAAGATTCTTCATGAGGTACACTGCAGTCCACTCTTAGTTCACCAAGGCAGGCAATAACAAGATGTACCAAGAGATTGACAATTGCACTGGTGGTCAGGCATGAAAAGGAAAGTGTTTGAGTTCGTTGCTATATTCTTAGTGTATCAGTAGGTTAAAGTGAAACAACAGGTTCCCTCAAGGTTACTTTAGTCTATTCAGATACCTCAGTGGAAATAGAATAAGGTGACCATGAACTTTTTAATTGGTTTACCGATGACTAGATAAAGAAATGATACAGTTGGTAGTAGTAGACTGCTTAACCAAATCAACCTATTTCCTCCCAGTTCGAATGGGCTACATCTTAGAGAGGTTAGCTCAGTTGTTAATCTGTGAGATAGAGAGGTTATACGGGGTACCGACTTTTATCATATCCAATAGAGACCTTCATTTCACTTTCCTCTTTTGGAGAGCCCTTCACGAATCCTTAGACACCAAACTACATTTCAACATCTCCTTCCATCCTCAGACAGATGGCCAATATGAACTTGTTATTCATATCTTAGAGGGCATGCTTAGATGCACCATTATAGACCTAGGGGCTAGTTGGGAGGACCACCTGTTGTTATTGGAGTTTGTATATAATAACAATTTTTAGTCGAACATTCAGATGGCTCTATATGAGGCATTGTTTGCGTGAAAGTGTAAAACTCCACTGTATTGGACAAAGCTCAGCGAGGGTAAAATTGTGGGTCCTACCTTGATAAAAAAATTGAAGAGAAGGTTTGGTGGATTCAAAGCTATTTGAGACAAGCCTTAGATAGGCAGAGATCTTACGTAGGTCTGAAGTGTAAAAATATTGAGTTCGTAGTGGGGGACACTACAACAAATTTGTCAATTTATGACAAAATATCTATATGACGTTACATATATTGTCACAAAACATACTATAACGTGACTTTTTTTTTATTTTTGTCATATTTATTGATTAAGGGTATATATTTTATGACAATTTTAAAAATGGTCATTGATTTTTGTCACTATATGTTTGGCGCCAAAATCTTTCCACCAAATTTTTTGGTGGGAAACCTTTTAATGACATATAGATAAAATAATGACATTGTAAAATCGTCTCCAATGAAAAACAGGTATTAGTGACGATTTATTATAGTGACGATTCAATTTGAATTAGTGGCGTTGCACATTCGTCACTAATAAGTTTTATTCGTGACGATTTAATTTGTCATATTTTATAAGACACTAAAAGTGACATTTTATTATTGTCACAAAATAATTTTTGGACGACGAAATCAATTATTTGTCACTTGTTTTAGATTAGACACCTGACAAACTCACGTGACATATTAAGACAAACAAACTTGACTAATTTGTCAGTCTATGAATAGTTATTACTACCTTATGCTTGCCACTGTCAGCTAGGATTATTATAAATACGTCCATGCTACAGTTGAAAATAGGGATTTCTTCTCTCCAAGTTATCACAAAGAAAGAGATGTCTTCTTCTTTTTCTCCATGTCACCCTCATTCTAACATAGAAAAACACAGATAAACGATCGATTCTCTCATCAACTACGATTTTCCGTCTAAATTAAAAGGGATAATTCACCAACTGTCGACGAAATTAAATTTATTTTCATCGACGTATAATATAATATCATTAATATCGAGAGAATTCTCTGATTATATGACATACCAATTATAACATACATAACTATTATAAATGCACCAAACATTAATTTCTTCCTTGTTTCTCCTCCTCAAAATATCAAATGTAAATCAACTTATTCATTAAGTTATGGTTTTCACGCAGGAAAGAAAGAAGAAGCCTTTACTTAGCATCAACTTTCTAGTAGATTGTAAATCTTTTGATTTGATCAGATTGAATAATTCAACTTTAACTATTAACTTATAAGTGATTTTAATTTTTTAATGATATAATTTGATTAAATTAAAAGTTTATATTCTATTAAAAATTAAAATTAAAATAATATAAAGTACTAGTTTAAAACTAAAAAATGACTATGTTTTTGGATTTTGATTTTTACATAAATAAAAAAACCAGTATAAAACAAGCATTTTACCCTAATTACTTTGGATGAAAACGACCAACTTATTATTATTTTTAAAAAAGTGAATAATTATTTTATAATACGATGGTTCAATATATATAACCGGGTGACTATTTTAAAATATTTTTTTAATATTTTAAAACTGTTTGTAAAATTATTTTCAATATTGATAATGCATTAAATAATTATTTTTAACAGTAAGATTATCCTAATAAAATTTAAATTTGTTGAATGTACAACAACAATTTTAAGTCGAATACAAAAACAGGCAAAGCGAAACTAGAATTAGGCTAAACGACGGCGTTTTAATGATGTAAGCTTCATTTAGGGTTCACTTGTGTATATTTTTTAATTGGAGCCCAAAGGTTTAATCTTGGCGCGTTTATTTAATAGAGTTGTATATATTTTTGTGGGCAAACAAAATTTCAATTCAGCCATTGAAGAAAAAAGGAGGATTTTTAATCCCAAAATTTCTCGGATCTAAAGCGCCTCTGAGATAGGTTAGCATTCTGCACTTATTTGCCTAATTTTGTAGTATGATTTCAATCTTCTTCATTAAATTCCGTTGTTTACTTCTTTTTTTTTAAAAAAAATCCCTTAACTTCTGTGCTTGCTTGATTTTGTGTACTGTGATGAAGTTCGCGTCACTATATTGAATGCGTTACGAATTTGTTTATTTCTTTTTAAAAAATTTCTATTATTTGTCTCTCTAAATTACTTTTGCCTGCACTGGTGAAAGATTTGGGTTTCTAGATTACATCTAATATTAAGTGTGTTAGAAACTTTAGAAAATGGGAAAAAAGAAAGAAAGATAGAGAACTCGGCTGAACCGACTAGCTTTTGCTTAATTTGTATATTTGAAGTATGTTTGACCCTAAGATGGATTTTGTTTGCTCTTTGGTTGACAGTCCTTATGACATGGGTGGAAACGATGTGTCCTCTGATCAAGTTATTGAAAAACTTATTGAAATGGGGTTTGAAAATTCTGATGCTGTAGAAGCTGTAGAAGCCGTAGGACCATCAGTTGATGCTGCGGTTGAGTATGTTTTGAATGGTTGTGATAGGGATACTCTCGGTTCGTCCACTAGTTCTCAATGTTCTCCAAGGGATTTAAAGAGTTCGGGTAAGAGAGTTATGACCTCTTCCCAATGTAAAAGTCAAGGGCGACAATCCACGATATGGGATCATTTTCAATCCACAAGCAAACGTAAGCAAAACGGAGGTAATGATACATCTGATGGGGTTGTGTCCAGAACCCAGGGGCTGCCTAGTCTTGAGGAAGAACAAAAGGGACCATTCCTCCTTATAAATAATCAATTAGAAAATGTGGCAGAACCATTTGGATCAAATTGGGAACCAAAGGTTAACTGTTTATTAAGAAAGCATTTTGGTTATTCATCTTTGAAGAGTTTCCAGATGGAAGCCTTGGCTGCATGGCTTGCTCACCAAGACTGTCTTGTTCTTGCTGCAACAGGATCTGGTTAATCTTTATTCTCTTGTGTTTCTTGTTATTTTTCCCGTTCACTTTGTTATTTCATAACTTGGAGAGTACTAATAGCTTGCCTTCTGCAGGGAAGTCCCTCTGTTTCCAGATTCCGGCATTATTAACAGGAAAAGTTGTAGTTATGGTTTCTCCTTTGATAAGCTTGATGCATGATCAATGCTTAAAATTATCAAAACATGGGGTCTCTGCTTGTTTTCTTGGATCTGGACAACCAGACAGCAGTGTGGAGAAGAAAGCGATGAGAGGAATGTATAGTATTATATATGTTTGTCCAGAAACAATTCTGAGGTAGGTGCATACTTTGCATCTTGTATGTCTCTGAACATTTTAATTCTTTATCTTGTTTGTAATTGAGAACAACTAGTACTTTTGTGCAGACTAATAAAACCTCTTCAGAGGCTAGCAGAAAACCGCGGAATCACATTGTTACTTTTCTGGTTCTCAAAAGTCAAAACCATTTATTTCCTTTAGGCTGCAGCCTATATGTGATTGCATATCCAATTATAAGCTTCCTTCTCTCTGTATGAAATGGTGGTTACATAGCTTATGATGAATCCGCTTTTATTTGTTCTGCACTCTTCTCTGTTTAGACCCTTTACATCCCTTTTCATTTTTTTTATTGTATTTTTTATTGGGATCAAATGGAACTGTGTAGATGAACTACTGTTTGTGATCTTATCGAGCCATCTAACAGGCAAGGTTTCTATGCAGGTTTCTATGAAATGGTGGTTACATAGCTTATGATGAACTACTGTTTGTGATCTTATCCAGCCATCTAACAGCCAATCATCGGGTCAGTGACCAAAATGTAAGAACTCAAAATTTAGTGGTTTAATCATAATAAATTTAGAATTCAAAGATTTAATTGTGGAATATTTCGGTTAGGACTTGATATTAAATTTGAATTAGTGGAAGGGAATAATGGTTTTTTCGCTTAAAAGATTTTATTTCTCTCTCTTAAAGGATATAGCACGTGGATGGGGGGAAGATTTGGAAACTCCTTTCTTGCTCTGTTCTTCTTATACTGTGAGCTTTACTCATAAAGGTAAGAATATGAATTTGGTGGTTTTCCTTTAATTTTTGGGTTGGTATTGAAAGCTTGGGTGTTGTATAAGCTTAAGGAAAGCTTATATAGTATTAAAACAACAAGATAAGTGTTTTAGAGATGAAATTGTAAAATGGAGTTGATAACTATAAGTCGAATTTTGAATTGATTCAAACTCAAATGGAAGATATGAGATCTGCTTTGTTAGCTGTTGGAATTCAAGTGCCATCACTTCAATTTTCAGGTAAACAATATAGTTAATCAAATAAAAATTATTATATAATATTAATTGTAGTAACTAATACTAATTATTTTAATTTGTAGCTTCAAATGATACTATGAACTCAACATCAATAGAATCACAACCAACTCAAGGTTTGGATTGAGATTGCTACAATGAAATATTCCACAAGTCATATTATTATCATATTATTTTTATTTTCTGTAAACATTTAAACATTTTTATATTTATAGAAATGAAATTATTATGTTTTTAGTTAAATATTTGTTTAAATCTTATTATTTCGCAATAAGTCAGGTATTTTTTTTATTTAGATTTGTATAAATAATTTTATTTTAATATATATTGTCATTAAAAATGTGATAATTTTTAGTTTTACCACTATCTTGGTGACTTTATATATGGTGGCGTTATGCATAATCATCATTCATAATATTATTAGGTAACGATATATTATGTTACTAAAAATGTGACAATATCTTTTTCGTCATATATAAGTTGATTTTAATGCATTATTTGTGATAATATAAACTATCAATAACGAAATCTTATTTAATTTAGTGACGTAACCAACTGTCATAAATATAAATTATAAAGTGATGTTATGCATATATGTCATTCATAATATTATTAGGTAACATTTATATTATGTCACTAAAAATTTGACAATATCTCTTTCGTCATATATAAGTTGATTTTAATGTATTATCCGTGACGATATAAATCATTAATAACAAAATTTTACATAATTTAGTGACATAATTAGTTGTCATTGAATATTAATCATATAGTGCCGTTATATATAAATGTCATTCATGCTACTATTAAGTGACGATGTACTACGTTACTAAAAATGTGACAATTTTCTTTTCGTCACATATACAATGAAATTATTGTGTTATTGGTGACAATATAATTTATTAATGACGAAAATGTACATCATTTGATGATGAAAGTAATTGTCACTAAATGCAAATTAAACTGTGACGTTATCCATTAGCGTTATTATATATTTAACAATACATGACGATAATACATACATCGTCACTTTTGACATTTAGTGACACACCTAGGGTGACGATCGTCGTGACATTGACTTTTACGTCACATAATACATCTAGTGACATAAATTAAAGTTTTAGTGACAATAATCTAGATGTCACTAATAAGAAAATTTGTTGTAGTGGGACAAGGTTTCCCTCAAGGCTTTTGCTTGGAAGAAAGTAATACATTTTGGGCACAAAAAGAAGTTGATCCGCGCTTCATAGGGTCTTATGAGGTGCTAAAGGGAGTTAGTCCAATAGCATACCAATTAGCCTTACCTTTAAAGCTGAAACGTATTCACAATGTGTTCTAGTATCGATGCTCAGAAGATATTATTCCGATCCTTCCCATGTCACACCCCTAGAGCATATTGATGTTAGCCCAGACATGACCTATGAGAAATAACCAATCAGGATCTTGGCAGGAGATGTAAAAGAACTAAGAAACAAAATGATTCATTGAGTAAAAACGTTGTGGAAGAGCCATCGAGTTGAAGAGGCAACTTGGAAAACTGAGAAGGATATGCAGGTTCAGTACCCCCACGTCTCATATCTATATAAAGTTTGAGGACAAAAATTTCTAATTAGGGGGAGAGAGTTGTATGCGCCAAATTTTAGGTTAGGAGTTTCAGGCTAACCTAAGAGGGCCTTGATTAAATCATATAGCTTGTAAAGAGCCTTGACCCAAGTTTGAGTGGAATGGGGCTTGAATTGAGCCCAATTGTTGTTAAAAAGGAAATTTTTGAGAGTTAACTAAAAATTAGAGAACCAAAGAAATAATTTCCTATTGTTTGAAACAAAAGCTGAAATTTCTTAATTGTACCTATGCCATCTATTAGAAGGGCTTCCATTATTGTCTTGTTCTTATTCTTTTCCCTCTTTTTTTCTTACTCTCCAAACTCATCAAAGGTGTAAACTTTGTTAACCACAAGTACAATTCAAGATTAAAGAGGTAAGAACTATCACCTACTCCCTTAGAGCTTCATTTTAAGCCCTCAATCTTATGGTTTGGTTATGTGAACCATGATGGGGGTTTAGAGAGGTTTGAGTTTTAAGGCTTTAAAATGTTCCTAGTCCATCTCTGAGGGTTAGAAATCATGTTTCTACTCCTTTTAGGTCCTTAAATGAACTAGTAAATCATCTCATTGATTTTGGCTAGTGAAAAAAAGTATAAGAAATATCCAAGGGCAAGAACAATAAGAAACTTGTGCTTGAGTCACTTTGAGGTGTTTTTCAATAGCTAGACCAAGGTAACACACTTAGAAGTCTACTCTACCATATTTAGATCATTACATATGTTTTGGTAGTTTGCATGACTTATGAAGCATGTCAATGGTAGATTGCATCTATTGATGTTTTTAAGCATGATTATAGACCTATTATGACCCCTTTTAACTTACATAAAACTTAAATAATTCTTAGGACCCTTAGTAGGGCCTTTGGGTAAAATGAGGATCATTTTCATGCCCAAAACAAGGCATTTATGGGAAGAGTATCGGTACTAGAAGAACAATATCGATATTGTTTGTTAGATGATTCAAAACAAAGGGATTTGGCACAATAAGTATTGATACTACTTCAATGAGTATCGATACTCTGAGTAGGAGTAACAATATCGGGTTCACTTAGCAGATTCCAGTATCAAATTTAGGTATCGGTACTCATGAGAGTATCGATACTCGGGGTAGAGTATCGATACTTCCAGCAGAGGTATCGATACTGTGGCATTTTAAAAAAAAATTGAAGCTTAATTTGGTATCGATACTTAGGAAAGTATCAATGCCCTAGTATAAAACAATTAATACTCGGTTCAAGAGTATCAATACCACCGTTCCTTATCAGTTCATAATAGCAGTCAATATCGATACCTAGGGGTCGATATCGATACTTAGAGGATAATACTGATACTTAGGGGTTTAGTATCAGTACCCATGAACAATTTTGGATAAGAAATCCATTTGGTTAAGGGTTAGATTTGAGGGCCCAACCATATTAGATCACTAAGAAATAAAACTATTGGAAAGAACATTAATTAAATACAATACAACTAGAAAAAATAACAGCTAGGATAACATAAAACTAGACTTGTTTAATTCTCGAGGAACAATCAAGACATCCAAGTTCTTTTAGCAGAACACGATTATCTCATTTGGATATATCCCAATCAGTGTTAAGGAATTTTAGTTTCCGAATAGGCATAGATGCCTCAAGACTCGACGGAGTAAGTTAACCGGGTGTACTTTTATGATGCAGTTTCAGATCTCACCCCTAATACCCGAGGATACTTTAAAAAGGCTAGAGGGGTGTGTGCTCTAAGATGTAGAACCCTCATCCACACCATGATTCCTACTTCAACAGTTCATAACAACATTTTCTCATGTCTTCATACCTATGCCACAAGCATGCTCAAGTAGTGAATGCATGTAGTATGGTACAATTATAGTGTGGCACTGAGCTCGTAAGCTCATCGTTCAGAATGTATTTTCATGCACATGTTCTTAGGATACCAGTCGAGGAGTATTATTATCATCAGTAGTTCCAGATCAGCCGAGGCATCAAAGAATGTCTTGAGTTATTCATAGAGGGCATATACTATTTATAGGCCCCTTTTGTATTCATCCATAACTCTATTTTGTTAAACTCAGTGTTGTTATTATTTTTATATTTTGGGAGCTCCCCTATTCATAATCTTGATTATTACATTTTTATTTTATATCTTTATGGATGGTTTTATAATGATGCTTTACAGTTGTTTAAAAAGAAATTCTTTGGGTTAGCCACTTCGGTGGACCCATATAATGCTTTAATTCTTCAATCTTCGGGTTAGTATGGATTAGGTTGTTATATATAATCCATTCAAGGTAATATTTTTTAAAAACCCTAACTCTATTTTCTTCAATTTTTATCCATGTTTGTGTAAAATTGACCAAATAAACTGTTAGGTTATAGTTTTTACCCATTTT